GGCGGCGGCGGCCCGGGCGGGGGTCCTCCCGTGCTGTAGTCCGACATGGCGCGGCGGGGCTGGGCCTGGCGCGGAGGCTGAAGATGAGGAGGAGGCGGCGGCGGCTCAACGCGGGAACAAGGCCTCGCTCCACACGGCCGCGGAGCACTCTGGGAACTCAGCCGCTGGGAAGACGACGCGGGGGGAGAGGGTCGCCCCCTCCCGCCTCGGGCGTGACGGACGGCGCCGCCGGGCCAATAGGAGACGGCCGCCGCTCCCTCGACACCAATCGCAGGCTCTGGAGGCGAGCGGCCAATCGGAGTGCCACGAGAGGCTGTGGGCGGGAGGCTCCGAGTGATCGACATCCTTACGAGGCAATGGGCTGCCGCTGCTGGCGCCGGGCGGGCAAATCAAGGCGATCTGAGAAGGTGGGAGGCCCAATGAAGCGCGTGTTCCAGATTCGCGGGGCGGTTTCAGAACTAGATTGAAGGCTCCGGAGAGTCATGTGGGCTGGAAGGCGGGGCCTAGCAGAAGACCCCTTTCGACGGGCTAGGCAGGCGCTCAGCGAGATGATTGTGCACCCAAGCCAATAAATACATGCGATGGGCGGTGCTTGTGGGGATTGGCAGTCAATTTGGTCAATCCCTGGCGAGTTCTGGCCAGTGGGCGGGGCTTTTGACTTGATTGCTGCGCTTGTTAACCATAATCCTTTTCTAGCCCTCACTCTAAACCAATGGCTGAGCGACAGGGGCGGGTGTTAAGTGACTGATACCGCCCCCGACAAATGGTAATGGAGGAAATAAAGGCGCTCAGTTTTGGTGGGAGCCAGTGGAAGTGAAGCTGCATTGGGGTGGAGCCGACCACCAGACGGCGAGAGGGGATTAGCAGGGCCTGGAGTGAATGGCAGCCGACGTGGGTTGTGGCGACCGGCTGCCCGAACTCAGGCCTGACGTCTGGGTTAGCGTCCCAGGAGCCTGGCTGGGTAGGCCTGGCACGTGGCCTGCTTGAAGCCTTGGAGATCGGGAGCTTCTGCGGGTGGGGTGGCCTGAGAGCAGGAGGAAACCCAGGAATCCCCTGTACCTCAGGGATCTGGAGCTCCCACTTCTTTTCCGGGACTCATAGAACGAGCTACCCTCCAGTACTTCCAAGGACCGAGGGATCCCAGCCCGTAACTCCGCATTCCCTACCCCCTTCACATAAGGCCCCAGGATTTAAACCCTAAGCTCACATCCTAGGCCCTCAACTTTTCTCCTGGACCCAGGCATCATCCAGGCTACCAATTCCCATTCAGGGCGGAGAGACCTAACTTCCCCAGTTCCCCGCCTGGATCCCAGGTCCCCAGCTCCTTTCCTGGATCTAGAGATCCCAGGTCCCCAATGCTCTCTCCTAGACCCAGGGATCCAGACACATCCAGCAGAAACTATCTCTTTATTCCTAATGTTTGCCTGTTCACCATTGAACCAACTACAATGAGCCTCAAGGAGCTAGACTGGAGTTGAAGCTCTAGTCCCAGGCTGCACCATGCGGAAAGGGCCCCTGCAATCTTCTGACCCAGGCCTGCAGCCTAATTTTGCCGCCAAAAACTGCCCTAGGGCCTGAGCCTGGAGGGCTCTTTGGGGGCAGGGGACACTGGGTCCTCCTGTCCCATTTCTGCCCATTGCGTGTCATCTAGCTTGCAGTCTGTACACCCAGGGTTTTCTTCATGGCCTCGTACACCACACAGCTGATGCCACCTGCTGGAAACACCTTCAGCAATGTGGGGGTTATTCCTCGGTACAGCCCTGGCCAGCCCTGCTCTGCCAGGATCCGCCGAAAGACTCTGCACATGGTGGGGTTCGAGCCCTCCACGGTGTCTGCAGGGAAAGAAGGAAGCTCAGGACTTGGCCAGAGATCACTTGTCTTCCTGGGAGTCTGGAACATGGCGGGGGTGGGGTGGGCAGAAGCTATGGGTAGGGGCCTAGGGTCAGTTGGAAAGGAGTTTTGGGGGAATGAGGAAATCATTTGCAGAGGGGTTTTCAGGATTTGCTTTAGGCAACATGCTAGAAAACATTAGTGCTTATTTGGGAGAGAACATCTAACATCTGCTAGAGATTTTGGGAGAATGCCCAGAGGTATTTGGGGACATTTTCAAGATCAGGGTGGTGGGCAAAGGACCTGTTTTGAGTTTTGTGGATTGGTTTGGGGGCTGAGAGTCTATTTGAGGGAGGCAGATTTGGGGAAGTGGGTATGAATTTTGGGAAGTCCAAGGGTCAGTCTTAGCAATTTTAGGAATCATTTTGGCTTTTGGAACCAATTGAGGGTTGGATCTTATTTGGAGAAATTGAGAGGTTATTTTGGTGGTATTTGTCTTTGGGGTCAGTATGGGAACCTGGGTCACATTTGGGGATGTTTGTTGGGGTCAGTTGGATGTTAGTCATTTCTTTTTACAATTAACTTGAGGGCTGAGATCAGATTTGGGGGCAAGTATATCCTGGTGGGTTTTGAGGATCATCGAAGGTGGCCAGAATCAGATGGAGGCCAGGAGAGTTTGTGAGTCAGTTTTGGGCAATGAGAAAATTCAGAGCTGGGGCAAGGCAGGGAAGGGTGATGGTCACTAGGGCGAGGCTGACCTTGGGCCTGCATCCTGGTGCGCACCAGAGTCAGTGGGTAACTGGCCATCTGGCCACAGGTGGTGGACAGCGTTACTGACGACAGACTGACTAAGCCACTGGGGTCTTCCAGGTCCCTGCCTGACTTCAGCCATAGGCACCGGAGCATCTGCAAGAGAAGTAGGCCGGCAGAATGATCACCATAGGCCTGGGCTCAGGCCACCCCCACCACTCCATCTGCGGGACCCGCACCTCATAGACAGCCAGGTCAGTGCAGGCATAAGGGATGATGCCAAGCATGTTGGGCAGGTAGCCACGGTAAAGGGCGCGGGTACCCTCCCGCTCCAAGATCTGCCTGGCACAATCCAGCAGCCCCTTGTACTGTCCCGTCCGGCGCAGGGTCAGCCGTGTCTTCAGCACCTGGGGAGAGTGGGGAGTGAGGCAGCTCATTTGATTTAATCCTTTCCATGACCCTCAGCAGTGGCCATTGTCCCCATCCTACAAAAGAAGAAGCTGAGGCTCAGGAATTCAAAGAGTTGGGTTTCAAATGTATATCTGTTGGATTCCTTGGACGGCTCTCTGAATTTTGAGTTCAGAAGCTCAAGTGCTGATAAATTTCAAGATGATAAGGGAAGTAAAATGAGCCGAGTGGGGTCTGTGTTAGCTGTGACCTAGCTCCAGCTGAATTCCATGGGAGTTTGGGCCCTGGGTGGCCAGATCTGCCAATTTTCCAAAAGCTGCCAGAAATCAAGAATTTTTATGAAATACTCTAATGTTGGCAACTCTACAATCGTGCAAAAGAAAACATAGTGTGGCAGGCACAATTCTAAAGTAGTCCCCAAGATTTTCCCCCATATACATGCCCTATATAATACTACCCCCACTCTGAGTGTGGACTTGTGTGAATAGGATAGGATATCACTCTCCTGATTAGGTTATATTATAAGGCAAAGGTGAAGGGGTTTTGCAGATATGATTAAGACTCTTAATTAGTTGACTTTAAGGTCATCAAAAGAGAAATTGTCCTGGGTGGGCCTGATCTAATCAGGTGAATGCTTGAAATGAATCTATCTCACTAGAGAAAGAAGTCAGAGATTGGAAGCCTTCTCCTGTTGGTCTTAAAAAGCAAGCTGCCATATTGTGGAGACGGCCACATAGGGAAGAAAGAGCCAAGGACCTCAGTCCTACAATAAGAAACTAAATCCTGCCAACAACCAGGCAGCTTGGAAGAGGACCTCAGAGGAGTTTGCTTGTAGCTTGTTTTTGGCCTTGGTTTTGATGAGACCATACACAGGTGACCCAACTAACTGGTGCCCAGACATGATCCACAGGTAGTAAATCTGCATTGGGCTGTCTGGTTAGCTTAGTTGGTTAGAATGCAGTCTTGTTTTTTGTTTTTTTTTTTTTTTTGACCGGTAAGGGGATCGCAACCCCTGACTCGGTGTTGTGAGCACCACGCTCAGCCAGTGAGTGCACGGGCCATCCCTATATAGGATCCGAACCTGCGGCCTCAGCACTATCAGTGCTGCACTCTCCCGAGTGAGCCATGGGGCCGGCCCTAGAGTGCAGTCTTGTAACACCAAGGTCAGGGGTTTGGATTCCCCATACCGGCCAGCCGCCAGAAATAAATAAATCTGTATCATTTTAAGCTACTTAGTTTGTGGTAATTTGTTACACAACAATAGGAAATTAATACACTTAGGAAGAAACTTAATAGCACAAGAGCAAGATGATTTACATTAAATATTTCTTGGCTGTGTTAAAAACGTCCTGTACTTTATTAATGGTCCTTGAACAGCTGTGAATGTTTGAGAATTAGTAAGAAGGCAAGAAGGTGGATATTTTGACCTGACTGGAAAATTAGTCATTTTTAATTGCCAGGTAATAAGTGTGATTACCCTTGACCTTCAGCTCCAGTGTCTTGCCAAAATAAGGCATAAGAGCTTAAAGAAAAAATAGAGGTGGCACTTTAAATGTCTACATCTTCTTACTTACAAAATAAAAAACAGATTAAAAAAAGATAAGGGCAAGGATAATAGGAGGAAAACTTTAAAACACCATGAAAGGATATACAAGCAGATATGAATGAATGGAACATGTTCTTCGATATGTAGACTCAACATCACACAGGCGGCAATAATTTCTAAATTTATTTACTAATTGAGTGCTATCTCAGTAGAAGACAAATACCAATGAGTGCTTTTGTTTCCTATTTATTTATTTATTTATTTTTAAAAGATGACCAGTAAGGGGATCTTAACTGTTGACTCATGTTATCAGCACCACGCTCTCCCAAGTGAGCTAACTGGCCATCCTTATATAGGATCCGAACCCGTGGCCTTGGTGTTATCAGCACCACATTCTCCCAAGTGAGCCACGGGCCGGCCCCTTGATTTTGTTTCCTTAATCAGACAAGTTGATTCTAAGGTTTATATAGAAATATCAACACAGAATAGTCTGGAAATTGGACAAAAAAGGAGCAAGGAAGGGAGATCATAAAACATTCTATCAAGTCTCAAAAATTAAAGACAGAAGGCAAAACTATATTGACATAAAAAAAAATCAGGGGTGGGCCGGCCCGTGGCTCACTCGGGAGAGTGCGGTGCTGGTAACACCAAGGCCCCGGGTTCGGATCCCTATATAGGGATGGCCGGTTCGCTCACTGGCTGGGCGTGGTGCTGACAACACCAAGTCAAGGGTTAAGATCCCCTTACCGGTCATCTTTAAAAAAAAAAAAAAAATCAGGGGTGCCAGAGATTGGGAGGGACACATCATTACATATTTGTCAAAACTTGTAGAACTGTATAACTTCAGGAGTGAACTGTAATGTAAACTATGGACTTTTGTTAGTAATGTATCAGCATTGATTCATCACGTGTAACAAGTAGGCCAACCTAATGCAAGATGTTAACAGTAAAGGAAACTTTGTGTCTGTGTGGTGGGTGACAGAGGTATACAGGATCTCTCCGTACTTTGTGCTCAGTTTTTCTGTAAACCTAACACTGCCCTGAAAAATAAAGTCTATTCGTTAAAAAATTTTACTGGGCTGGCTGGTTAGCCCAGTTGGTTACAGCGTGGTGTTGATAACACCAAAGTCAAGGGTTTAGATGGCTGGATCGGCCAGCCACCAAAAGAAAAAAAAAGTAAAAGAAAGTAGTACATGAACAGAGACCTTAGCAACAAGAAGAGAAAGGCTAGAAATGAACCCACATATATACAGGGGTTTAGTAAATTACAAAGAGGATGTTTGTGGGGCAGACGTTCTCTTACCTCCATGGGATTGATGAGTGTCTGGGAAGTGGCCACAGCTAGAGAGCCAGCGAGGAGACGTTCCTGAAAGGGTGGGGACCCGTGGACTCCACAAAAGTAATTCTTACACTGGGACAGGAGAGAAGAGTGTGAGAGAGAAGGTAACCACCTTCCTACCTGAAACCCATTCAGGGAGAGGGGTCTGGGGCATGGAGGAAAAATAGTGTCTTGGATGAGGACTTGGGCTCTTGGGGTATAGGAGGGTTTAGGGCTTGAGCTGGAGGAAGCAGACCATTCCCCACCTGTTCAAAGACAGAGAACTTGATGGCGTACTCGGGAGCAATCTTGAGCACGTTGATGCCATTGCCCCGCCACAGGGAGCGGAAGCCCCCCTCCTGGACCATGCTCCGTAGCCCCCCCAGCAGGTTCATGAAGTTAGTCTTGGAAGAGTAGACCTGGGAGGAAGGATGACCGTGGCTCTGGGAGGAGCCCTCCACCCCATCCCCATCCCCATCCCAGCCTGGAGTGCAACGCCACCCTGCCCTCTCCCCCTCCACCAGCCACCCAACACCAACCCTACCTCCATCCCGTCCCCATTCCTTCTCACCTTCTTCCCTGGCCAGTCCTAGAATTTCCTAGCCTAACCGAGATCCAAACCCAAGACCGACCCACGTTCCCATCTCATCTTCTTTCCAGTCCTATTTTGTCTGCAAATCCATCCAAAGACCCCAACCCCAGTTCCTTGACTTCCAAACCCAGCCCTGGCCTGGTGTTGGCCCCTGTTCCTGTTATCATTGTCTAAACTCCTTCCACAACTTAACTCCATGCCTCATACACATCAACTCCATCTTCATCCACAACTCACATCTCAACACCACCGCAGAGAGACAACCCCGCCCCATCTCCAGATTCAGTCTCCTTCCCAACTCCAACCCCTGTCCCAACCCCACCCACCCACCTGTTTCTGGTTGCATCCCACCCCCATCCTGAACTCCATCAATGCCACCTCCACTCACCCCCGCCCCAAGTTGTCCCCAGTGGCTCCAGAGCTGTGCCCCTCCCACACACCTGCATGTACACCTTAGCACGATCCAGAGGGGCCGTGCCTGTGCGAGACACTGCCCCAGCCATGGCTCCTGAGAGCAGGAACTTCCACAAGGCACCGTCATTGTCTACTTCCAGGACATCCACGGGCACCATGATCTGTTCTCCTGTGTCCAGCACCTGCAAGGCAGACCCAATCCTCCTCCATATTCAGACAGGCTGGAGCCCCTCCCCCTGGTGCATCTCTGGGACACCCTCCCAGTGAAGGTCCCCCCTGCTTCAAGGTGGAATTCCAGGTCTGCTTAGAGGGGAATGGGCTCCACAGAGGGTGTGGGCAACACGGCCTTCTCCCCATGCCATCTAGGCTGGAGATGCTGGGAGACCTGTACTTCCCCAACTCACCTGTTGTGATGGAAGATGCTCCAGGTTGCTTTCATGCATGTGCCCAAACACATATCCATACACATGTGTACATCCCAGGTTCCGGGAGGGGGGTGGGGGTGGGGGCGGAGGTGGAGGTGGAGGTGGGGCTTTGGTGAGTAAGGTCTTGACCCTCTTAAACAGGGTCTGGATCCTGGAGCAAGGCTTCTGAGTTTCCTCAGGAGGAATTCCCATAGCAGCTAGAGGTTAGGACACCTGGATTCAAATCCCTGGGGAGAGGGCCGGCCCGTGGCTCACTTGGGAGAGTGTGTTGCTGATAACACCAAGGCCACGGGTTCGGATCCCCTATAGGGATGGCCAGTTAGCTCACTTGGGAGAGGGTGGTGCTGACAACACCAAGTCAAGGGTTAAGATCCCTTACCGCTCATCTTTTAATAATTAGAAAAAAAAAAAATCGCTGGGGAGTCGTTTGCCTCTCCAGCTACCATGTAGGAGTGGCTAGTGGGAAGTGTGACTTGCAAATATAGGTCCTGGGGATGATGATATCACAGAGGCTCTTGTGACCTCACTGGGTGTGGTAGGCAGAGTGACGATCTCCCCCAACAAAATGTCCACATCCCAATCCCCTAAATCTGTGAATATGTTATTGTTGTGGTCTGAATTGTGTCCTACCAAAGTTCTGATATTGAAGCCCTCACTCCCAATGGGATGGACTTTGGAGGTGGGGGCTTTGGAGTTAATTAAGGTTAGATGAGGTCATGAGGGTGGGGCCCCCCACGATGGGATTAGTGCTCTTGTAAGAACAGAGAGCCCAGAGCTCACTCTTTCTCTTTCTTCACCATGTGAGGACACAGCAAAAAGGCACACCAGGAAGAGAACCCTCATCAGGAACCAAACCAGCCAGCATCTTGACCTTGGACTTTCCAGCTTCCGGAACCATGAGAGATAAATGTCTGTTGTTTAAGCTACTCAGTCTGTGGTATTTTGTTATGGCAGCCCAAGCCGATCAAGACAGATTTGTTAGGCTGGCTGCTTAGCTCAGTTGGTTAGAGCATGGTGTTATAACACCAAGGTCAAGGGTTCGGATCCCTGTACTGGACAGCTGGAAAAAAAAAAGACAGATTTGTTACATGGCAAGAGAGAATTAAGTTTGCAGATGGAATTAAGGTTACTAACCAGCTGATAGGGAGATGGGGAGATTATTCTGGATTAACTGCCTAAACCCAGTATAATCTCATGAATTCTTAAACGTGAAGAGGGAGGCAGGAGAGGCAGTCAGCAGTGAGATATGAAAAAGACTGGCATGGCTGTTGCTGGCTTTGGAGATGGAAGAGGGGGCCACGAACCAAGGAATGCAGTCAGCTTCTAAAAGCTGGGAAAGGAGGAAAGATTCTCCCCTGGAGCCTCCAGAAGAAACCAGCACTGCTGGCACCTTGATTTTAGCCCAGCACTATCCATGGCAGACTTTTGACTTCCAGGATAGTACATATATGTTGTTTTGAGCCATTAAGTTTGTGATCATTTGTTATAGCAGCCACGGGAAACTCATGCACTGGGTTCCATGTCATGACATTTGGAGAGAGAGTGAGAAACATTGAGAAGGTTTGGGAGCTCTGGGAGAGAGAGACAACATGGTTGGTCCCAAAAGGAAGACAGGCATGGGTTTGAAGTCAGATGTATCTGGATTCGAATCCCATCTTGAACACATCTTGCTGTGTTACCTTGGGCTACTCACTTTCCCTCTCTGAGCTTCAGCCCCATCTGGAAATTGGAAGTAATGCTAAACTCTAACACATAGCATTGTCAATAGGATCCAATGAGAGTCTTAGTCGAGGGCACCTCTATTCTCTGAGTAGTTTAGGTCAAAAAACTTGACTGTCAGGGGCCAGCCTGTGGCTCACTTGGGAGAGCTTGGTGCTGACAACACAAAGTCAAGGGCTAAGATCCCCTTACCGGTCATCTTTTTTTTTTTTTTTTAAAAGATGACCGGTAAGGGGATCTTAACCCTTGACTTGGTGTTGTCAGCACCAAGCTCTCCCAAGTGAGCCACAGGCTGGCCCCTGACAGTCAAGTTTTTTGACCTAAACTACTCAGAGAATAGAGGTGCCCTCGACTAAGACTCTCATTGGATCCTATTGACAATGCTATGTGTTAGAGTTTAGCATTACTTCCAATTTCCAGATGGGGCTGAAGCTCAGAGAGGGAAAGTGAGTAGCCCAAGGTAACACAGCAAGATGTGTTCAAGATGGGAT